CAGTATTTTAGTAGCTTGTAGGCCTGGCTGCTCAGGCTATTTTTCATGAGTGAGCTTTGCAAGATTCTTTATTTTACAGAATTTGTCAATTGCACTTGTGACATTTATTCTTCTTTTTTATTTTTGTTATGTCTTTTAGTTCAGCTGTCTTATACCTGATAGTGTTCATTCTGATCTGTTTCCTTTAAGCTGCTGTACCAAATTACTACAAATTTGGCAGTTTAAAAAGTAGAAATTTTCTTTCTAGTATTTTTGGTAAATAAAAGTTCAGCAGCAGCTTCACTGGGTGGAAAGCAAGTTGTCACCAGGCCCATACACTTCCAAAAGTGCCAGGGGATGATTTCTTCCCGACTTTTCCAGCTTTGAGGCAGCCAGAGTTCCTTGGATTATGACCACATCAGTGTTCTCTGCATTTTCCCTCTTCTGTTCTGTCTGGACCTGCTACTGTCTTACAAGGATGTGTGGGATTGCGTTTAGGGCTAACCCAGTTTATCCAGGGTAATTTGTCCATCTCAAATCTTGAATTATATTTAAAAGTCCTTTATTTTTGTCTTCTTAAGGTAACTTTCACAGGTTCCCAGAACTATGATGTGCATATATTTGGAGGGGCTGTTATCCTTCTGATTACAGTCTGATTGGAAGCATATCAGTTTTATTGATCTTATCATCAAGGAACCAGCTTTTGGGCAGTTTTTCTAACCTCTCTTCCTTTTCTAATCATGGATTTTGTTCTTTATTATTACAATATTCTTAGCTTGTACATACTTTGGACTCATTTGCTTATCATTTTCTGGTTTTTTCAGGTCAAAGTTGAGGTTATGGCTATATAGTTTTCCTCTATTTTGTTTAGCTCTAATCCCCCCAAATATCTTCTTGCCAGTACTGGTGATTGAACTACCAGTGCAACTGCCATTGAGCCACATCACCAACCTTTATTTATTTATTTATTTTTAAATTTTTTAGTCAAGAGTCTTTGCTCAGTTTCCTAATCTGGCCTTGAATGTATAGTCCTGCAGCCTCAGCAGCCACGTAGCTGAGATTACAGCTGTGCATCATTATGTCCAGCCCAAATTTTTATATGCTGTATGTTCATATTCTTTCTTAGTCTTTCTATTTTTCATTATTTCTTTGATCCTTAGAACTGTTTTATTTCTGCCTTCCACCTGTTAACTTCTATGTTAATGTCATTATGGCTGAAGAACAGTCTTTGTAGGACTTCAATTCTTTTTTGTTAATTGAGACTAGTTTTACAGTTCAGAATTTAATCATTCTTAGGTGTAAATGTTTCTACACATTAAACTAACATTTACTGTGTAGGATTGTGTATCCTGCTGTTATTTAGGGAAGTACTGTTTAAATATCAGTTACTAGGTCAAATTTGTTGGCCGTGTTGTTGAAGTCTTCTACATCATTGCTGATTTTCAGACTTCTTGTTCTCTCCAAGTTATTGAATAAACAGTGATAACAATATTAGGGTATAATTGTGGATCTGTTTCTGTTTGCAGTTGCATTTTTTAACATATATTTTAAAGATCTTAGTAATGCATAAACATTTAGGATTTATATTTCTTCTTGATGAATTGATTTCTCTTGTTACAGTTGTATCTTCCTGTCTTTTACAGACCTGATAATTTTCATTGTAAGACGCTGGGTGCTATGAATTTTAATTGAGCTTCATTCTAATCTTTGTTATAGTTATTATAACAGGGTTAAACGGTGTTTAATCTAGAATTTGCACCATTGCTAAGGTAAATTCCTTCTGAATACTCTTCCTTATGCTTCAGATTTTCCACTTTAGTTGGTAGGAACAGCTCTCTTCCCAACCCTATATGAGCTCTTAGAAATTATTTCTCTGATTCTTTATAGGGCTCTTTCCCCTGCAAGGCTTATCACTGGCATCAGGTGATAGGTAGTTTAGCCCCTGAGTTCTCAGTCTCTCCCTGAATCTTTGTTCTTCCTTCTCTGCCCTGTGAACTTCAGCCCCCATGCTATCTCTGCATTGTGAGCTACATCTCTTTAGTTCAAGACCACCAGGTCCTTCTGCTTCCCCTTCTTGTGCTGCAGCACGGAAACTTGTTTGAGGCATTCAGCTGGGACCATTGTGTGGTTTGCTCCATTTGTTTCCTTAATTTGGGGGTCACAATCCTTCATTAGGTGTTATCTAGTATCATGAGCACTACTGTTACTGTTTTTGTCTGATCTCCATCTTAGATGGAAATTGAACTCAAGAGCTAGAGCTGAAATTTCATACAAACTTGGTTGTAGCAAAGTTTTAATTGTATCAAGTTTGGTCCTAACTTTTTTATTAATTGTAAGCAAAATTATAGATGCAAGAATCCTCAAACAGCCATTAAGCTCAACTCATACAAGCCATCAGTGGAAATAGCTCCTTGGTAGGCTTTCTCTTTTATTCCTGCTGCTAGAGCCCCTGCAACACTTGGAAAACCTTGTGAAGGTGACTTAGCAACATGGTAATAATGAGGGTTTAGAAAGGAGGAAAAGATGAACCCCTTTTGGTTTCTTGAATCTATTGTTTTACTATTTGTCTATTTTGGGTATTTCGTTTCTAGATTGCATTAGTTGGTTAGAGGGTTTTATTTTTTATTGTGTGGAAATTTCTATTTCAAACTCACAAATATTTGAAAGAAAATTAAGTATGGAATGATTTTATAAAGAAATTGCTTTTAATTGCAAAAGCAACAGAAATAAGTAGAGCTTGTCATTTTAAGTTTTTTTAGTTAAGAACATTCAGCTAATTAATTTTTTTCTGCCTCATGGTAGTTTTCATTTGTTATGTCAATTTTGCTGCTGTATAAAGCTAGATTTATAATTTTAATGAAAGGAATTCTATAATTTTGTTTATACATAATCATATGTGCTGCTCTGACCAAAATTTATCCATTAAAAAGAATCAGTCTGACAAAGGAACTACTGTTGTTTATTGTTCACAAGAAGTCCAAATAAGAGAAAATAGGGGGGAAACCCTTCAGATTTTTAAAAACTGGAAAATACTAAATATATAGTGTTTATATGTTAGCTTATATTTTCATATAAAGACAAGTCAAACTCTGATCCTAATCTGTCAAATTTTTTTGTGTCCTCCATAATTCCTTGCTCTAACCTATTTGCCAGTTCATAAAACAGTTTAACGAGTGAGTAGATAGGGATGTCCACAGATTATATTAAGTCTCCTGCAGTTATAAGGGGCAGTGTCTCATCTCTGCACATCACTGACAGCTAAGACAGAGTTTACTTTGGTTATCATTTAAAATTTTTTCTATAGTACTCAAAGTAAATGGTGACTTTTTAATTTGAAAGTCTCTATATTTTGGAGAAATGGTACATGATTTTGTGATTTTTTTTGTGTTCTGTCTTTTGTGGCTCACTTAGAGGTAACTATTTGCATGAGCCTGCCCTGCCTATCAGGAAACTGATAGAGATAGACTTCAACCTTGTCACAGAGAACTCTCACTTTCTCTGCTTTCACACAGCCTTTCTGATCTATATGGCTTTAATAAAACTTGCTTGACTCTAAGGCGATTTGCTGTGTATAATTCTCTCAGCCTACCTTCTAAATGGGTTGCCATTTATTTAGCTTTGAATGGCTGTCAGTGATTCTCTAAATTTAACCTTTGCCAATGAGAGACAATTTTTTTTTCCCAGTAAGTCAAGTTTTGTGAGCGTAATCATACCAAGCAAGTAGAGGTAGAAAATTCTCAGTTCTAATTAATGTCCTGGCTTGACATCCCATTTTCACATTTGTGGCTGAGACATTAGCATTTTCTGTTCCATTTCTGTAAACTGACATATGAGATTTCTGGAAGATTCTTTAAAGAGTGAGACTTCCTTGGGTTTTAATTTACTTGTCTTAGTTTGCAGTTAATAACAAAGCATAGCCTCTAACCAACCAGCTGGCACCCTCTTGGCTACAGCCCTCTGATCTGACAGCAGGAACAGCACAGATCTTGGGAACAAACCCTTGCCCCATGTGCTATGCCTGTTATAACTAAGCTGACATTCTAAGTGTGGAACCCTTCTGAAAACAGAAGGGCCATTTTCAGTAATTATGTCCTGACAGCCGGCATTGGTAAAGGGAATTGTCGCACTTGAGGCCTCCGTTGATTAGATCCATAGCTCTCCAGGTCAAATCTAGAGTTTCAGTGTAATTACTAAGGGATCTGGACCATTTTCAAAAGTGCTTTGTATATTTTTTTTTCTGGTACTAGGGATCGAACTCAGGACCTTGCGCTTGCAAGGCAGGTGAGGTGCCACTGCACTAAATCCCCGGCCCAGAAGTGCTTTATATTTTAAAATGACCATTGAATGCTTCTTTGAGTACTAGTTGAAATTTAGACCTACCCTGTGAGTGAGTGTGTGTGAGTGTGTGTGTGTGTAAAACCAAATTGACTTTAACTGTTTTTCTATATTTTTTAGTGACATATTCATTATATCCAGTGTAGACATCACGAGTCTGATGTGATACCCAAATTCCATAGCTTTAGTCAAACAGAGTGAAGTTTTGTTCCTTGTTTGTTTGTAATAAATGCATTCTTTTTGTTGATTTAAAGCAACTTTGTAGCCAGAGATATTTGGTAGTGATTTTTTAAGTCCCACATGGATAAATTTTAAATAATATTTAATTGCAAAGATGGTGAAACAACAGAGTGATTAATAAATACAGCCGGTAGGGGTTTGAGGAAGAATAGTTCTGATAATTCTAGTTATATAATTCTTCCTAGTATCCATAAATACTGCTTTAATTTGAATTCTCTCTCACTACTTTTGCAGTTTAAATTTAAAAAAAAACAAAACAAAACTAAGTCTGTTTCACATATAATATGTTGCACTCAGTTTTCTGTAGAAGTCTATGTATTCTGCTTTAAAATGCCCAGTCATGTTGATTCCACAAGATTTGGGGTACTATGTTTTAATGGGAATAATTACGATGAGAGCTAAAAATAATAGTTGTGTCCTTTTTTTTTCTTTCTTTTTTAAAAAAGCTGGACCTGTGATCTGCAGAATGCTGACTTATCCCCCAACTCGCCGAGCTTTAATTGTGGGTTGTGGCCTACAAATGTTCCAACAGCTCTCAGGCATTAACACCATCATGTATGTATTTCTTTCTGGCATTTTACTGAAGAGATTGTGAAGGGGTTATTTTACATGGAGAAAGGGGTAGGACTCTTGGTGATTTGTTGCTACTAAATGTATAGAGGAGCCTCCTTTTGGAAGAAAGTTTGATAACTTCGTAACTATAAAGGGGTGATTTATTATGTTGGGTATTATTGGCTTTGTTTCATATAATTTCTCTTTTATGCCATCCAGTACTTTCTTGATTCTGACCTATTAGTTTTATAAATATTTTCTTAATGCTGGTTAGAAAGTACTATAAAAAGAAACCACTTGGCATTGTCAAAGATAATGGCCATATAAATAACATGTTCACTTCCTTGTGGGCTATTAACCTGCAGTGTGATAAGAATGCTAATAGAAGTATGATTATTAAACCACATTACAGTAGAAAGGATATTGGAAGAGGTCAAAATGATAGAAAAGTGTCATGTTTACTGGTTTTCATTGCAGTCCCCAAGTTGTGTGTGTGTGTGTGTGTGTGTGTGTGTGTGTGTGTGTGTGTGTGTGTGTTTTGAGGGTTGAGTAGGGTTACTTAGAGGGACCTCTACTCTTTTTCAGTCTGTTTTCTGTCAGTTATACAGCAGTTACTAATGTAGATCCAGTTCTCATCCTCACTCTGTATAGACCTGTGGAAAGACACCCACTGAATAAACTCAGACTTAGATACAGAATTTAAAACTGATAAGAGCAATACAGTGCTGCTTTTCTCTGCAGAATAGATTGTAGATCCAAATAAAAGAATGGTTTAGAGCATGACATGAGTTTTCTAAGAAACTGATCAGGATGACAATTCTAAGTCTTAGAAATGTTTTCTTTCTCTACCTATTGATTGAAATTACTCTTTAGGAAATAAGAAATTGTATAAATTTAATTTTCCCAGGCAAAACATTTGCATTTGAGATTTGATATTTTCTTTTGAAATTACTTGATCCGATTATTTAATGATGGAAGAGCAAATTGGTTAAGATAATTTTTAAAAATAAAGATGAGGACCCTGTGTCCCATTAGATTATATCAGGATTTGTTAAGAAACTGTATCTCCACACTCTTTGTGAATTTGACATTAGTTATAATCTTTTCAAAGTGTAACTTTCTGGTTTTTTTTTTTTTTTTAATTGTTTGCCCTTTCCGCCTTCCATCTGTCATTTCCTTCCATTTCCCCTTTTGTCAGTTCTGCTCAGACCCATCAATTGGTGTAGTGCCCAGTACCCAGCACATTGGTTGCTTCTCCAGGATTTGGTGCTGCTCTGAGATGTTGTCCCTTCCCTCAGTGTGGTCAGAGTGCGGTATTGTAACAAGGCTGCACCAAGCTTTCAAGTAGTGCAGTGCAGTAATAAACCCTGAATGGGTTCTAGTTCTGAAAAGTTTTGTTTGTTCTACCCTTTACTAACCTTTTAAACTTGATGTGTTTAAAGCATAGAAAATGAAGACTTTGTTTGTACCTGTTTGTAGTTCTTTTGAATAGGTATCACAAACAGAGCCAACTCTTATTTGATGGGTAGTGGCCAATGCTGGTTTATTTCTAGTTGAAATGATTATCATAATCCATTTTTCTATAGCTAGAGTAAATCATGCTGATTAAGCTTTTCAAATTTTAATAAAGTATTCATTTCGCTAAATCCCCCATCTTTTCACAGAGATCGGGTAATAAAGAATCTTCATATTCCCTAAGATACATGATAGTCATGAATAATGCTTTGATCATCACAGATTAAACATGCTAAGTAATATGGTCATAGAGCTTTTGCTGACATTTGAGTATTAAATTTAGAAAATAGAGGGGCTGAGGATTTAGATCAGTGGTTCCTTGGCCTGCCTTGCAAGCGCACGGTCCCGAGTTGGATCCCCAGTACAAAAAAAACCCCTAGAAAATAAGAATAAAATAAATGATAGCTGAGAGTAGACTGTCTACTGGTTGCAAGATAGTCATCTCCCTGAAGGCACTGGCAGCATTTTAGAGGACTAGATGTGTATATAACATGATAGGCTGAGAAACTGTTGGTTATTCAATGTACATAATTTCAGACACTCATATTTTAAATCTCTTAACTAGAGCTGAATAATTTGTCATTTTCAGTTGAAGGTAAGTAATTACTTTTTTCATAGTTTCAAAGTAATTTTCTTGGGGACTGTATTTTTAATTATGTGTTACATTGTAGAATTTAACTCTTCCCTTTTACATGAAAAAGAAGATAGGCATTGCTTTCTAGTATTCTAACCCAACCATAATAATTTTTAGAAGTTGAAATTTCTCTTTACAAATTTCATTTTCATGTTGAATTGGACATGAACCTGAAATGTGAAATATTTTGAATTCTGCTTTTTACCAAAGAATATTCTTGGTCAGATCATATGGAGAAATAATAAGTGATGTTATCCTCACCATTCCCTTATATAATGTTATCATGCTATATTTTCCTAGACTTCTTTATTTCTATTTCCTTGACCTAATTAATATCACCTCTTAAAGAAAGATATTTTTCTTTTTGAAATATTTTTTCTAGGCTCTATATATTTTTGTTGGCCTAAATTGCTTTTATTTATATGCTAATTTGTTTTTGTTTTTCTTTATATCCTAGCCCTTACTTTCTCATTCTCTACCCTTTTGAACAGAGGAGTTCTAAGTTCTAAGAAATCCTACATTTAACTTTTTTTTTTTGGTGCCGGGGATCAAACTCAGGTCCTTGTATTTGCGAGGCAGGCACCGGAACCACTGAGCTAAATCCCCAGCCCCTACATTTAACTTTTAAAATTAAGAGACATTTTTTTGAATCCTTAATGATTACTTAATAATTTCAAGCATGAAGATGAATAGATCATTCTTTATTTGCGGGAGAAAGAGCATAAAGTAAATAGGAAAAAGCTTTCCTACTGCATGAGAGTAGGTATTATTATAAAGCATCTGACAGACCACTAAACTATTTCACGTGTCAAAACAAAGAGAGGAGTGATAGATGAAGATTCATGGAAACTCTTTAAGATGTTCTCATTGTGATCTGTTCTATGTTCAAGTGATTTTTCCATTTTCCTCCTAAGAGATTTTATCTATGGCCATTGATAAATGGACCATTGCTACATTATTATTTCAGCCAGAATACATTCTGTGTGTGCTTATTACCATCTTGTTTTTAAAAAAGGAATTTACAGTATGCAGCATTTTGGTAAGTTCTAAAAATTAGTCCATGTTATATACAGATAGAAGATACCAGATTGAGGCTCACTCTGGGGCACTGGTTGTGAACCAGTGGCATGTGTGCCACAGCTGGCTGGCTGTTATTATTGAAAGCTCTAAAAGGTTCACTATCACTGCTCTAGGGTCACAGGAAATCACTAGCAAAGAGATGGAAATTGAGAATTTTAAGAGTTTTAGTGTGTGTCTAGTGATAAACTTATGGGAGAAGAAGCTTGTTTTGGACATTCATCCCTCTTCTTTTAATCCACTCTCTCTTCAGAGTAATGTCAGCTTCATCTCCTCTTCTTATTCTTCCTTTAGATCTTCATAACCCTACTGTTAAGTAAGCAGAGTAGTTAGTATTTGTTTAATTCTTTTTTGTATGTGTGCGCACTATCCATTGAACCCAGGGCCTTGCATCTGCTAAGTCCTTGTTCTACCGCTGAGTTACCACCCTCCCTTCTGTTTCTTGACTGTGTTGGCAGGTAAGCTAAGACTTAGCCAGGTAAATGATTTGTTTGTCAACATAGATTACTGCAGAGTACGTAGAATACTCAGAATGGCCAGAGCTGGCTATTTAAAATGTATTTGGGGATAAGATAAGTATTCTAAGTTCGTGAAATTCAATGCCAGCCAAAGATACAAATCTGAAATGACTGCTACAGGTTGAATGTCCCTTATCCGAAATGCTTGAGACGAGAAGTGTTTTGGATTTTGAAATTGTTTTGTCTTTGAATATATTTGCATATACATTTTTAAGTTTTCTGATACACACTGAAGGCTTTTACTGTATAACCTTGATGTAGAGTTCCTGGCCCCGTGGCAGCCTGATGTTTGAGTCATTTATATTTGTTATTCATATTTAATTAATTTAATTTTGTAAGTGCAGTATTTCTGGATAGGTTCCAGTCTCATATTTTGTTGTCAACAAGCTCTTCTAGTATAAAAAGAAATTACCATGCAGTCAGGAAATGTGGCACAAGCTGGCTTGGCCAGATGGTGGTAAGTGCTGAGAACAACAAAGGTGATTGGAAGTAAGAAAGGAAAAAAATGTAGGTTTTGTACAGTCTGATTTTGCAAATTTTAATTAAAGATGAGGTTTTGCTCTCTCTGATTCTCAACGGACAGAGTGCTCTAGTGCAGCAGCTCACTCCAGTGGGACTTCCCCTCTCTCTGCCTTCTTATTGTCCACCAAGGTATTGAAAGCTAAAATGTCCATCTCATTGGAATATTTTATTATACCGCTTATCAGATGAAAGTTACTAGGAAAATAGGAAGATTCATGGTTCATTCTTTTGAAAGATGAGTGTGATATTACAGGAAAAATACAGAGTCAGCAAACAGGAGGATTGAGTCAATGCCTGTGTCCACAATGGGACTTTGGGGCTGCCAGTTAAGTGACATGAGTCTAATGACATATAAAATGAAGTAGATGTGCATTTGAATGGAAAAATGATTTTCAAGTATAAGCAGAAGCTAAAACTCTTGAAATAGTAATACTTTAAACATTTTTCAGATGAAAGTTGTCAGATTTGTAAGGAACAAATTTCCATCTAAAAACAAAAATATGTTTTGCTCAACATAATTTTTGGAAGATTTATTATATACTTATTACATGCTGATCTTTGCCCTCGATGCTTAACTTCTTATATATTAAGAGCACATTTTTATTTCCCGAGCATCTCACTGAAGGAAGACAGTCTTTGTGTTACAGTTGACAGTGCCTTTTTGTTCCCGGATTATAGAGCTTCTCCCTTGAATGTGTAAGGATAACAACTTCCTGTGAACATCACTGAGGGACTGA